TCGAGACGCGGTGGCGGCGTGTTCAGCGAAACCGTATTTCTTCGAGGTACCTATATATATAAGCGCGAGACTGTGTGGTGATGCGTGTGTGTGTTTTGGTGCAGATCAGTGATGGTATACTGTATAATATATACATTATGTTACTTGTTATTATTATATACATTTCGTAGTTATTAGAACCAAACCCGCGGTTTTTCGCTGACATATACGTGTATATATATATATATATATATGTAGCAGACACAGTGCTATATCATAATAAATGACTGCAGACGAGTATAGAATTATTCCTATCCAAGAAAATATACGAGTATAATATAGGTATTCTATAATTGTATTATAAACGGCTGATAAAATAATCTCATAATATTTGATGATCTGGGGATATTTAATGGCTATAATAGGGTGAGAGACACCCTCATGCGAGAGGCCTGTGGTATCAGGCTAACGATATGAGTCAATATACATCACCATAATTTATAACACAAAGTCCCATCAGGACCTACTAAACCTCGAAATTTCCGAAAACCTCAACTATTCATCCCTCGGGGCTACGACCAAACCCTGCGCAGATCAAAACAATTCAATAAAACAATTTATACAATAATGTGATTTAAAGATGCAATGCCTTTACCCCTTAAAATCCACCGAAAATCTTCCATACTGTTTTTTTCTTATTTTTATTTTTCAAATACCTACTTATTACCTTTTCTGTAAAGTATCCAACATTTCATTAAAGTAATATGCAAATACAACGTGACAATAATGTATTGCATATATTGAGATCGATAAAGAAAAAAAAATAATTGACGATCATATTATAMTATTATATGGTGCATTGTTTGCCTTTGCGGGACAGCGGTGGGTGCATAACATGTTATTAATTACTTGTGCACCGGCATTTAAAAAAAATGATTTTCAACAGAGTAGATAAAAATTATTTCATCCAAAATTTGAGCTTGACGGGTAAAGCTATTATGTATATTATGTTATACATGTTTCGTATATAATAGGTATAGGGGAGTATTGTGATACATATTATATTATATATTATTATTGTGCTCGTGTGATTTATAATAATTATTCGTCGTCGAAAAAGAACCGTGTAGGTACGACGTGCGTATATTACATTATATAACATAACGACGTCGTTAGCGCCCGTTTAACCGCGGCGGTGTGATTTGACTTGACAGAGGTTGCGGTACCCATATACGCGCGCATAAGAATATTTTTACATAAAAACCTAGTGGAATATAAATTTGGAGTGTTATAAATAATAATAATAATAATATATTCGTAAACTCGATACCATTAACGTATACTTGCGCACACAACCTGCAAAACGGCGATTTATCACGAGGCGCAGTTGTGCATTTATATTCACATATTATAAGTATCGGTAGCACAGGACAGATAGATGGTAGGTGGACAGATGTGACTATACCGACCAGCAGCTACAATAATAATATATATCATAGTTGTAGCTACCTATATATAATAATAATATTTCAATAATATAGACATTATTATTGTCAAAAGTTAATATGATGCACAATGTAATAATTATTGTGTGCCGCTGCAGGTGTCTGCGGTTTTAACACCGCGATTGTTTGAATAGGTAAATAAACATATACATGTGTATGTTTAAACGGAGATTATATAATGTTACGGCGACGACCGCGACGACGACTTACCCTCGTATTGTGTGTACACACGCACACCTATAATATATATATATATATATATATTACAATATAATACGATGTATACTGCACATTACACAATGTAGTAAGCCCGCGAGTACATGTGGGTGCGTGGGTGTATGTATAACCTGCTACCTTCTAACCGATGTGGGCTCTCGTGTATATAGCTATATTATTATAATACATGTATATATATCGCCGGGGTATAAATTTACGAATAAGTTTATTCGGACGAGGACGAGAAATACGACCGGGCGAGCATCTCGGAATTACTTCGACTACCGCGTTATATATTATATACGGCCGTCGCTGCCGCCGACCCGCCCAATCCCCGACGCCGCGCGCCGAAACGCAATGAACGTCGCGCGTAAAGTTTCCGACGGCACCCCAATAACTTACACGCCGAGGGAAACCCATCGCCGACCGACCTTTTGCCGGGTGTCGTATACGCACATCTATATATTACACTCAACGGCCGTCGTCGTCGGATGTATAGGTATATATATATAGATTATATAGGTATATAAGTATAGTTTTAGGTACCTATATACTCTGCGCCATCTCTTTACATATATATATATATGTATACGTCCATAACGTCGGGACGAGACTATAATGTCGTTATATTGTATAGAATTCGCCGGAAAACGCAATCGTATACGTGAGAGCGCCATCGCCTGTGTGCCGAAGTTGTATCATATATACATATATAGGAGTCCATACATACATGTTTTTAAATGATATATTAAACGTGCACTGTATCGTGTATATCGTATATAATATATATTTATAAGCCTGCGGCTGATGTCTGTATAAAAGCATATACTACTACTATTATTATTATTATTATTATTATTATGTGTACATTTCAAAGAACGATCCAATTATGTGATGTCGTTTATTTGAACACCTTCAATAGTGTATATTTGACGCCTCAGTAACTGCATAATATTAAACACACCGATGATGGGCTTCGTTACCGTTTTATTCTATTTTTCTGCAATTATCGCGTCTTCTGCTATATAGTCGTTTGGTTGCGGTGTATGACACCAATGTAATTGTAAATTACAATTTATATTATGATTAACTTTTATTTACCACGATAATCGAATCTGAAATTCCGTGTTATCTTTTCGTTACACGCTCACATCAGTTTTTTCAGCAAAAATAAATTGCTCCGATTTCAGAGCTCGGATGTCTTTTGCACTAAAAATTACTTTTAGAATTAATCACGTTGTAAACACTCGTAAAATTATACATACAATGCTCTAAGAAATATTAAAATTAACAATACAGTCACGATAAATGTATACCTAAACCTAATTAATGTTATTTCGTATAAATTGCGAAAATAAATCAAATTAATGCGGCCAAAAAAAATCAATATTCTATAAAGCTTTATAATGATGTTGATTTCTGTGTAATATATTTTTAATTACAAAATACAAGCAATAATGGATAATAGACGTCTGGGGTATGCGCATAATGAATAATTAATTATTAGAACAATATGTCATGTTTATGATTGATTCGGGGATACCATACCAACACACAATATAATTTCTTTTAGCCAATACTTTTTTATCTAATTTAAATTAGATATTAAAAACAATTAGAATTATGTAATAACAAAGGAATTAATAGTAATAATACAGTGATATAAGTAGAATAGTTTTAATATTAACCGAGCCCAATATATATGACGTAGGTATGATATACTGCAGAGAGAAGGACCACCGCAACGATTTTCAGCAATGCATAAATATATAATATGGRTTAAAACTAAATATAACCATAATATTATATACTTATATAGTACACACAATAAATCATTTGGCGACCACTCGTCGCGTAATACAATACGTAATCACGACTGTTGTTCCCATTTCCATCATCCCTCCGATTCTCTAGTGGGTGTATAATAATAATAATATACGTGATGATATACTATTACAATAATACCACGTGCTAGGTTATTCGCAATAAATGAACTGGGTGGTGTTATTATTGTTGTTATTATTATTATTATAAATCGTTGCTGCAGGTGGCTATAATATTGTATATACAACGGAGCGGGAAAGTAGTCGGCGATAAATATTCTAGAACGATATTATTATTATTATTAATATTATTATATAGAAATCGGAACCGCCGTCGTTAAAATAATCGTTAACAATGATTATATGGCTGCCATGGCTATTTTACCGCCGTTACGCCGGAAAGGAAATAATCCGCTGTACATCGTCTGTGTCCCCGCGATTGGACGGCGGATACGCAGAAGGCCCGGTTGTAACGAAACGGATATCCTTTGAATGGCCCTTAAACGACGTACAATACTAATTTAACGATTTATCTCGATGCTCATTCTGCCACCCCATCATAACCCATCACCGAACCAGCTATAGGTTCGCATACCTACTACACAATAATATTAAGTATATTATACATTTTAATATAATAATTTAATAATATACCACCTCATACTCGTTAATAGATAATAATACAATCGTTATTATATAGCCGATCATATACATTATAACTTTATCGACTAAATGCGCCCAAAATTTAGTTGACTGCAGCGAAATATTGTAATAAACTAATAACTGTATAATTAGGTTGAGATTTTGATGCAACGTCATTTTTTTACTGGAGTTCTAAGACATAGCTTCGTCTTAGCTCCGTCAGTGGGAACTATGTTTTAGATAATACTGATAACTTTTATTTTGCTTTGATTTAAATTTTTCAAGTTCTAGAGCATTTTCCACAAAGCATAGATATTAAAAAAATTTCTAGAATATTAAATAATATTGTATGATATAATAATGATAAATGGTTAAACAGAGACGAACGTGAATTATATTGAGGTAATAACGATCATTGACCGACAACGTTCTCGTTTCTAAAAAAAAATATAAAGAGGCACCAACAATATTTGTATATTGACTTTTCTTTACTATCTTATATACATAGCCAATCATCAGTTGGTATATAATATATTCATATGTACATACAACTCAATTTTCAGTTGTGTGTTTTTTTTTCTTTTCTTGACCTACCACCCTAATTTAAATATGAATTATTAAAAAAGCATATTTTATCAAATTTGAATACCATACTTTTTTATACCTTTTACTCGTATATATAGCATTGAGTAATACATTTTTRTAATGAAATCCCGGCCCTAAATATAATAATTTAATGGCCATGTACCTACATTATAATAATATGTAATTGGTCTTACGTATAAACTGTCATTATAAGTTGTCATGATTGATTTGTTTTGTTTGTTTTATACAGGCGAACAGCAAAGTGACATAAACGCACGCATAGGACAGTCAGCGTTTTTACCCTGCGAACTGGAACCCAATAATGTGACCGCCGGATTCGAGATGACCACCCAGTGTGGAACAGTTCACTCTGTGAAATGGTACCGAGGAGCAAGCAGAATATTCCTGTATTCCGGTGGGCCTCGCACGACACAGCCGCACCGAGAAGGGTACACCGACCGATATGACAGGTAAGTCGAACAAAACACCTAGTCGTGGTTAATAATACTTGTATACGAACAACAATACCCTTGGTAAAAAATTGTATTTTTGTAAACACCGATATGTATTTATTTAGTATCTATTTGTTAGACTCATACACCGTTGTTAATTTTTATTCTACTGCAACGGTGTACCTAATGCACTTTATTTTTTCAATTCTGAGTGAAGCGTGAAGTGTATTGGTTGTACTCGACGTGAACACCTTTTCTAACGGAAACAGTGAGCTCGAAAGTTTCACGTATCTCAGACAGGAAATCTTGATGGTATACTTGAAAAGTTATTTTTCGATTTTTTTTTTTTTTTTATTAGTCGTTTGTAAGAGCATAAGAAAAGACTGACAACGAACGTTGATAATTTTCAGGAAAATGTTATGTCGGGTAAAATGTGGGTTTAATAAAAAATTTTCCAAATAAGATGATTTATGTTCTTATTGCTTTCAAATTTAATATCATAATAATTCATAACACTCTGTCGCTATTTTAATCTCTTTAACGTCCAACACTTTGCAGCTCTGCAATTCCAACACGACTTCGTAGTTCTTACAAGTTTAGACTACTGGYATAATCTTTTGACCCTTGGCCATATGTAGGTTATGACATATATTGGTATATGTATACCTAATTTGTATAAGCTATAAACAGGCTCCCGGGAACATCGTTCTCGCCATCTACAATCACGCCGTTGTAATTACAACTTAGGTACAAATTCGTACAATTACAACATAATCTATAATTAGACTGAGAACTTGATGCAATATAATTTGTTTTCTGGTGTTTCAAAACGCTTAGCTCCTTAAGTGGAATTATTTTAGAGTTTATTATAGTGATATATTTTGATTCAAGGCTTTATTTTTAATTTATATTGACAAATATATTAACTATTAGTTATTTTTCATATGTTTTTAGAATATGTTTGTCTTAAATTTGTTTTTAGAACATTTTTCACAATTTTTTTTTAAGTGAATGCGAATTGTAAAACAAAATGTATTGTTTTAATAAAAACCAGTATATTGGTAGCGGTAGACATGATAGTCAGCCAGTTTCAAACGTGTAGTAACAAATACAATGCGCTACTCGTCGTCCGCCACCGCTTAAATATCCATAAATAATTATACAGTTAAGCTGCGATAAAAATAGGTAGGTACTTCTATTACAGTGTCTTCAGAAAAATAAAAAAATGAATTGCACAACTATACGATTACGTTGAATATACATTTTTAAATTGCGAGAAATACATTTTTTAAACGAATTACTTAGTAGTGCATATTTTTAAATCTCCTAGGCATTTTTTGTGATTTTTAAGGCACTAAAATTTAATCCCTACTTTTATAATAATATATGCATATTCGTTTAAGTTCGTAACGCATAAAGTCAACCACGGTGGTTTTATCAGCTGACGCTGACGGGGCTTTTAATTATGCGGCCCCTTCCGTGTTAGGAACACACAATAGCCGGCTAATACATTTGAATGCTGCGAAATCCGTTCGCTGGCCGTCGTATAAGCTATTGACATTATTTGTAGACTAATGCGCAAACCTTCGACAAATCGCCGCCTTTATCCTTCCGATATTCCTATACAGCAACTATACACTTAAGTTATCGTTGTTCCGCGTTTAAAACACGAATATATACATGATTGTTAATTTATAGTACTAAAATATCAATGTTGCTTTGATTAATTTTCCTAACCAAACCACACAAATACACAATGTTAATTGCAATTTGTTTTGTTTATAAGGCTTTATGACGCATAGATTTTTAGACATAAAATAAACTCCACTGATTTAATGATGACACATAGTACTAAAATAAAACTATAAACATATATCTATAGCCTAGAAGTAATATTTTAGACGTTTTATTGTATTTGATTGCAAAATAAAATAAAATAGTAACTCACTAACTATAAAACACGGACGTCGAAAAGCATATTATTTATTAAGTTATTGAATATAAATTAATATTTGAGTTATTATCTGTTAAATACATTGCCACATTGTGTAAAACTAATTGTTAATATTTTCGTTTTAAATAAACTTATTATTGGTTGTAATTTTTAAAATCTCTCTTAATATTAAATTTAAATATTATATAAACAAAAAAAGTAGAGAAAATAGGAAACCTCTGCTGTATAGTAGAAGTCGAGTGTATAACTATCATAATTAAACATGTCACTGTTATCAATAAAGTGTAATGGAATAATGGATGTGTCAAATTTGAATTCAATGATTAATCGTTTCATACGAAAATAACGATTCTGAGCGGAGGCTGTCTATATCGACTGTCAGCATTTTATCATATACATAATATTACCAAACATTGATGACAATTAATATTCTAGTTATTTATTTTGCTATTATATTAATGCGGGATAAACTATAAATAGTCAATATCATTTAATTAGGTGATATAATTTCWTTGAGAGAATGGCATTGTGTGTTTAAAATATAATAATATTATAGATACGTAAAAGTTTCAAATCCTCGCAAAAAATATATTGGACTCCGAATGCTTTAAAACTAGATGGCTAAGTACCTTCAGTATTATTATTAAAAAAAAAAAACTTTAAAACTATAAAACTTATAATATAACCTTGTGATAAATTTTCAGTTTTTGACCAAGTGAAATTATTTTTATCAATAGGTAGGTATTTATATAAAAATAATAACTAAAAAATATCGAAAATTACTATAAGGAGCTCAAAAAGAGTAAAAATATTTTATAAATAATTCTAATAAACATTTATTAAACATTCTAAGACGTAGGTATTTAAAATTATTTGTTTTTGATTTAAAACAAAATAAGAAATTGTTTATAAATTGTTATTTTACGCGTGAATATTCTATTTCATTAAAATATAAACTTAATTTGCATAAAAAATATTTATGGAACTCGTTCAACTTTTTTTTAACCCAATAATAACAATACTTATGAGAAACCTCGTAATATATTTTCAAGGTTTTTGACCGAGCTTTTTTTTCATATCATAGCAAAATAAATACCTTTATCGTTCAACTCAAATCCTTAAAATTTAAAATAAATGGTAATTTATAAATCGTTTGTATTAGGTATCTTGGTAGATACTTAAGTTTTCAATTTTTGTAATCAAAATTTAGATTTATTGAAGACATAAATTGTTTTCATAATTATTTCAATATATTTTAAGGTTATAGAAACAGTTATAAGTATTAGTACTATAGTCTATAAGTCATAATATACAATGATATATTATTTATTTTTGCATAAAATTAAAAGTATAGATATTAATTAATAAATAATTTGTCACATAATTTTTTGATCGTAAATCGTGATGCRAATTAAATAAATGATAGACATTTTTGTTTTATCACTTGTGATTTTTCAAAATTGTATAGAACGCTCACATTTTTAAGACCGATAAAGAATATTAACTATAATTATGTTACGTTATTGGCTTAACACTGAATTAACAGTAGATACATTTTTATTTTAACCATATTTTAAGTTAATTTGATTTTATAAGAAATATATGAAATGATAAATATGTTATATTTCTATAACTTATTCATACTTCATTATGACTAATGACACCTCCCTTGAATAAAAAAAATTCTAGATATACACTAAAATTGTCTCATTACTTTGAGGCATCAAAAGATGAATGGCCAAAGTTATTATCTTATTTAATTACCTATTATTTTGTTTTCCTTGCTCCAATGTAGCTTTGACAATCTGCATATATTTATATGGTTAGGTTATATAATAATATAATATGGATTAGTTGTTTTAATTTTAGAAATTAAGTTTTGACACGTCGCAAGAATCTATTAAGTAATTATTCCACAATAATTTGTTTTTTTTTTATTCTTGATTACTTTTTTTTTTAAAGAAACCCAGTACCAAGCAATTACACTATTAAAGTATTTCAATAATAATATAATACCTATAATATAATATTGTATATTTTCACACTAAACTCAAGTTAACTTTTTCCAAATATATAATACATACATATATATATTTGTAATATGAAAAATAACAATATAAATTTTTTATTTTTTATTTTTTATTTTTAAACACAATATATCATTAATAATTTATGTTCTCAAAGTATTTTTTCTTAATTATGGGATATGGTTGTTGCAAAATTAGTAGATAATAAATAATTAGGGATTGAAGTTATTACATCTATAGTTGAAATTTTTCTGTATGAATCGAAAATTAATTTAAAATTTTATTTTTTGTTTATTAAACTTTAAGTCTTTCCTTATTTGTGTTCTGGATGTTATCACAAAAATAAAAAATATTATAATAGGAAAACTTGAAAATACATAAAAAATATGCAGTATAATATATATAAAATTTATTCTCCTATAGAAAAGTTCATCAAAATATGTAAATATATATATATGTGCTTAAAACTTTGCATATACGTTCTTTAAAGTTAATAAAAAAAATTTCCATCCAACTTTAAAAGTAGCATTAACTTAGAAAAAATTCACCATTTAATTATTACATATTATATTCTTTTTTTATTTCTATACGTAATATATTTGGTATTCATTTGCGAAACTTTATATATGTATACCGATCATATCCCGTTATTGGTTTAATAAAAGCACACATCAACAAATATTATAATATACGTAACATATTATTTGAATAGGTAGTTTTATTCTTTTTAATCTTAATTTTTCAAATGTCAATAGGTACTTATTGATGAATAATATATTTGCAATTCGTAAATTATAGGCACACGCAATAAATATTATGATAGACAATACTTCCTAGTTCCTAGGATATATTCTAAACTTATATAGTTTTTATATTAAATATTGATGATATATTTATATATATATTATTATATTATTATATTATTATTATATATATTTTTACCTATATATTTAGTATTCATTAATTGTATATAACATTGCAAATAAACACTAAACAATTGATTTTGTATTTTATATTTTAAAACCTTTAATAAAAAT